TGTGTGTGTGTGTCATTTTAGACTTACCGTGTGTATATATATATATATGCGCCTCGCCTCGCCTTGGTGCCTTACAAACTATGGAGACAAGTAGATAACACAACCTTCTTATTGGCTGAAATTTTAGTTGTGCTAACATCACAACAGAAACTTAGATTTTTCTTCATCGCATCCTTTCATCAGTGTTGCATATATTTCTCATGTTATACCTTTTCTTTGTTTTGTTTTGGGAATCACAAATTTCCCTATGAGTCTTTACTTCACGGCAATCCGTGTATCTGTTATTCATATGATATGGAAAAAAGTCACAGTAAGTTAGTGATAGTGCATGGAATTTATTGTTGATAGAGAACTAGAAGTTTAGCTGAATGCTAGAGAATGAAATTTGAGTTAGAAAATTTAGTTAGGACAGCAAATCCTCTCTTGAAAATGGAAGTTGGGCCGGAATAAAATCAATCCTTCAATCCCTTGGAAAGTCTCAAAGTGGCAGCCCTTAGAAGCCCAGCAGCTTCGTGCTAAAAGAGACTTGAACTCTCTACTTTGAATAAAAGCTCTGAAATGCAAGCTGTTAGAAACTAGCGCTTGATGGACTGGAAATAGAAATAGTATTAGCTATTTTTGCATTGAGAAACTTTCACTTGCTTTTTGAGACTAATTAACCTGTTGTTCTCTGTGCTCAGCTTTTGTTCCTCTCATACTTTTTTATCTGACTGACCTTTGCAAGCATAGTAACATTTTGTTCATGTGAAATCCAATTGTGAAATTTCAACTGTTGTAAACAACTGTAGGCTCAAGTATATATGCAATAAAGAAGGTGTGAAGACTAGCTCCGTTGGTCTTACTGCTCTAGTGGAGTTTGCGGGTGAGCATTGTTTATGAGCATAATTCCCTCAAAATGTCATTCTTCTTTTATGTCCTCAGAATCGCTTCAATTTGATAGCAAATTCCTTAGAGAATGTATATAAGTTTAGTATTGCACATGAGTTTTAAAATGAGCAATAATCAAGCTCTAATGTGTAATTTTTCCTGCCAGCATTTATTAGTGGATAATTGTAGTCCTATTTAGTCTTTACATCATTTTTTAGAGGTGGGATGCCAACAAGATGTATTAATACCGGATGCCGCACTTAGCTTGTCTAATCTTATCATAGCTTTACTGATTGTCTAATTTAGAGTGATCCTAGGAAAGTCTTGCCTTTGTTGGCTAATGCTAGCAGAGGTGGACAGACTAATTGTACCTTTTCCTATAATCATGTAAAATAACTCCACAAGGATCAAATAAAGAAAAAAGGATAATCTGAATAATGAGTTGTCCTGACTTCTAAAACCATATATCATCTGATTTGACTAGAATTTAGGATCCAAAGTTACATGACTACGGTCTGGGGTGAGCTGTAATGTGTTACAAATGGCTTGACATTCTACAAGTGTCAACTTGGAAATAATGAGATATTACATTACCTATGGACTTAACTAAATTGCTAACTTGCTTGATGAGTTTTAATAAACTTCAATTTTTACATCAGAATGTGATATACGTTCGTGCTTAAACACCCTTCAGTTTCTCAACAAAAGGAAGGAGACCCTCAATGTGGTATGCATATTGTATTATCCTGCTCTATAATATTGATCATACAATTGTAGTCGAGTACTTGATAAACGGCTTCATTCAAGTATATACTTAATAGTTAATATACATATCAACAAGCTAGAAAGGAATAGTGTGCTTTTCAGAATGAAATTAGGGAGTGGTACTATGGACCAGTGCTCAGCCTGTAGAATGGTTATTTTTTCCCCAGACAAACTGATCATTACTCTAATCATTTGGTATGTGCTATGAATTTTCTATCCATAAATCCTGTGAATAGAACAGTCTCGTTTGCCATGTGATTATTCTAAATGCAGTTTTGCTAACTGTTGTCCTTAGGGCAATGGTTAAGAGTGTTAAAAACAGAATTTTGTCATAAAATTCAAAATAAAATTTGTCAAGTATATCTGCCTAATATGTATATTTAATGAAAACTTTCCATTTTCAACACTTGTCAACATTGCCATTAAGGCAATGGCAAGCAATATGAACTAAATTTTATGACGCATTTCCCTTGTTGCCAATGTGTTTGGACTCTCTTAAGGGGCATATTAGTAAATAAAACTAAGGACGCCCTTGATTTCTCCATAAAAAGTTAGTTGGTCCTAACTTCTCAATTACTGGAATCTTGTACATTCAGAATCACAATTTAAATTTCCATATTGGAATTAAATGATATTTTTCCATCATATCCGATGTAACCAAATATTCACTATTTTTTTGCTTTGGGGTATGATGGAATAAAGCAAATAAGTATAGGCCCGGGTGGTAGAGTCCATGTTTTTGGCCTTTCGTTTTAAATAGATAGATCAACTTCATATGTTTTCTTGTAGTTGGAGCTTGGTTCTCAAGTAGTAGGCAGGAAGGATGCAACAAGAAGCGCTTTTGACATATGGAAAGAGGTAAGTCTATTCCTAGTTATCAGTTATGACTTCAGTGAAATGCATATCTTTGAAGGTCTTGCTCGTATTCTTTTTTTTTCAAAATTTGGTGACCCTCTCCTTTGTGCTGTCACTGCTATGTGGTTTAATCTTTCACTATTCCTTTTAAAGATTTTCCATAAGAGGAAGGCAAAAAATGAGAAGAAATACAATAGTTCTTTCCGCCAAACCTCCAATGATTTTGAATCCCTTCACTCTTTCATATCTAATAGGTAACTCAAACTCGCCATGACATTTGTATCTTTCTTTCAACTTTCAAGTGATGGTGTGATGCATCATCTATCCTAATGTATAAATATTTCCAGGGGTGACTTTGATTTAATGTTTGATGGAATCCATGAGAACATTTTGCATCTCCGATACAATGATCCTTTGATGCAAAAAAGTGTAAGTTTCAAAGATTCTTTTCATTCTAGTTTGTCTTGTTCCTGGAAGATCCAAGCTAATATTATATCGCTATACTTCTGATCTGTTTATTAACTTGCAGGTCAAGTCCTTGGATATTCTTGGTGATTCTGACATAATTCATGAAAACATTATGCGCACACAACACATGCCCCTTCTAGGTAGAGGAAAATCTGCCCACCTGCATATGTTTGAAACTAATCTTGTTCTATCCTGATTTTTCATATTGACATTCTGCAGCTTATCAGCCTTCACTTGCAATCTCTATACATGGCATAGTTGCTCAGGTTGATAGGCCGAACATTGAATGGCCCAAGTCATTTCACAGGTTCTTTTGGTTTTCTTGTTAGTGTGATGTCTGTTCTTAAACATTGTACTCTATGCTTCATTGGGCATGTATGTAGTGCTGAACTTATTGTTGTGTTTTGTTGCAAACTCTTAGATGTCGGACTTCGAAAATAGAAAAGAAGGAAACGTTCCATTTGTGGCACAACAAGATGACACCTTTCATATCTAGACATCTTTCAACTAAATCTTTTGTGGAAGACTTGATATCTCCTTTGTTACATATTCTATCGCCGCCAACACTAAAACCGGTAATTACCATACTTGTGGTTATCAATATGAGCCAGAATGGCCTGTTCTAGAGATAGCAGCAGTCTGTAGCCACTTGTACTTTTAAGTTGATATGAACAGGAAATGACTTTGTCTCATTTCAGGTAGCCTTGCATTTATTGTCAGAAAAAGACAAGAGAGATTTTGCACAGTTGGTGGATACAATGGTATCATATGAAATAACTTATAAGAACATGAAATCTGATCCTTCATCAGCAGCCATGAAACTTGAGCATGCTTTAGATTCATCAAAGCTTTCTTTTGAACCTCCTGTTGATGGATTCATAAACTTCAAGGTTTGTTTTTTTATTTCCTTAATGTATTTTAATTCTCATTACAATAAAAAATAAGAGGAAACTTCAGTTGTTGTTTACTATTTTACTTCATTTCAATAGGGCTATGTTTCATGTCATTTTGTTCTTGCTTCTGCTGTGAAGTCAATCTTGGTACATGAGGTAAGTTACATCAGAGAAATTCCCTAGTGTCTCTAAGCTTTTTATATGAAGTGATTTTTGGCATTCAAGCAAGATCCCATGTTCTTCTAGTTTTAGGGGCTTGTAAAGGCGCTTTCAAGTCTCTTATCCATCTTTTAGTTGATACATATGTGTGTGTGTGTCAGCGTGTGTGTTTATAAAATCTTAATATTATCTATTGTTTAAAATTAGGTTGAAAAGCAAAAGATTTTGCAAAGTAGCAGAAACCAACCGAGACTCCCCACGGATTCTTATACTGAAGAAAACCATCTGCCAGTCAAAAATAAGAATAACTATACACTTTCTTCCAAGTTTTGCTCTACAACCACATCTTCTGACAAACATCCTAGTATACAACGCCCTCCTATTCAAAAGACAAGTGAGATATCTACATCTTCTGGTTCTTCAGCTACAGGAGTTAATGTAGTTTCTGCAGCTAAAGGGAGTTCTGAAAAAAAGAAACCTACAGGAGGATCTTTCAATTTTTTTGACAGGTAGTTTTGTAACTTCTGTGTTTCAATTCAACTCGCAGCTTCATTTTATATATGCGGGAATCATATAATTCTATAGAATGACCTAATATCAAGGTTATGAAAGGCAAATTCGGTCCTCAAGCCCAAAACAAACAAAGCTCAAATGAACAGTAATATGAGCTATAAAGGGAATTGTGAACATAGTTATGCCACGAGAGCTTGAAATTGTGTGTCATGGGCTGGCATGACAATGATTTAAACAAACAAAGCTCTGTTCCTTAAGTTTAACTCATAATCTAATATCTCTATACGTTTCTGGTGTACCTGTTTGATTGAAGCCTGAAACTGGTGATCTTTTTTTTTCTGTTTCGCTTAGAATGAGACTTAAAATGAGTCCCATTTTGAGCAGGAAATTCCAACTATTGCTAACATGTGTGATATAAGAGTCATTTTTCATCTTCTTAGTCCCTGGTTACTTATAATCTTCTCTAGAAACCTGAAAGGGTGATTCTATATGTAAAATGCATAGGAATATGATTTCTGCTATTCTCTTGTACTTTTCAATAGAAGAAAATAATGTCCGAGTGAGTTATGCAATGAAAAATTCATTCAGAATAAACCTAATTTAACATATCCTGCCATAAATGTTTTGAGTGGCTCATCATGCACATTCACCTCAGGCCAATGCCTCTATCTCTTCTTTACTTTGTTTTTTAAATTCTAGGTTCAAAAAGATGAGTGGCAAAGGATCTCAGCACATGAATGCCCCTAATCAAGGACAGGTTGAGAGGGATGCACGCCCCATATTGTTTAAGTTTAATGAGGTACGAATGAATTGCATCTTTATTTTGACTTTGATTTTTGGCCAGGTGCTCCACGTTTGAGGACACTGAATAAAGCAAAACATAACCCTAATATAAATGACAATTTGGTTTCTTCACAGGACCATGTTTATAACCATATTCTTCTTTGTATGTAAACATAACTTTTACATTCAATTTATGGCTTTATACTGGTCAACTCCGTGCTACTACTATATGTTTAACAGCTTAGTCTCAAGATTGTTAAGTTCTGATGCTGGGTGAATCAGGAACATCATCATTTATTTTGATACTCTAAATCTTTTGCAGGGTTTCACAAATGCAGTCAAGAGACCTGTCCGAATACGAGAGTTTCTTATCTGATTTCAGTTTTTTTAAAAGGCAAGTGATTATTTTATTTAAACAGCCATCTAATTTTCATACCTTGTTAATGCTTGCACATTCAATAAAATTGGAAAATAATTTCTTCTGCAGCAAACATTTTAATCATCCCAGAGAGAACTGGGATTAACATTATGAATGACATTTAAATGTCTGCTGCAAAAGGTCATCGGTATCAGAAGGTGTGAATGGGAAGGCGTGGTGAAAGTTTGGGTGCATGAGTGTATCGCTACATCCTCAAAACCATATTTATCAAAATGCAAGTTATAAAGGTTAACAAATGGAAGATACGAAGCAAAACAATTTGTAGTAGTGTTGTTTCTCAGAAATCTGTGCTTCACTTTTGCTCCATATTTCCAACCTTCCCAGTAGTCTTTTGCCAAATGTGTACATACAAGGCTGACATTGGATTAGCAGATTTGTACACTAGTGTTTGTGCTATACATATATCAAATTCATCAAAACTCTTCTGATGAAATCTCAAAAAGAATAAATGATCTACTAATGCATAATTACAAATATGTACAGCCTAGGAATGAATGAGTTTACAGTATCTAATAGTGACAGGGTACAACCTAGTCTCCTTCGCTTGCTTGTGCGTTTCGAGGGGGGTTGATTGATATCCACAGAAGAGAGAGTGTGATGGAAAGCAGGCCTGTCCAGACATAAACAATGGTAGGAACTTTTCCTTTTCTCCCCATCAAGCCCTTTGCAAATGGATAAAGATGTGCAAGCACCCAGAAGCTGAAGAATGCCCCGCCAAACAGCTTGTTCCATTGAGGAATCACACTGTAGATTTGCCTCGAGCACCCAATCACGAGTGCGATGATGTTCACCACCAAGATCGTCAAGGGCATTATGAAAAGACTGGTCCATTTCACCAGGTACATCTCGGCGTAAATGTCCTCTTCGTCCTCTGACACAGACTTAGAGGTGAGCGTGAAGGAGATCTCTATACCTGCAATGACCTTCAACAGCCCTTGCATCACTGCCACCAGGTGAGCGCTCGTCCCTCCTATCAGCCAGAATTGTTCGTTTCTCCACAGCTCTTCTAGCCCTATCCGAGCCCACTTCACCTCCAGAAGGGATATGAGCATGAGCGTGACAGTGATCGCTAGGAGATACAAGAGGAACTCCGTGTTGAGGGTCTGCACGATGAACATGCCGGTGAAGTTGCACATGGCTGGGATGAAGCAGTAGACGACCAGGAAGATGGAGGTGAAGGGGTAAACTGCCACGTTGAAGTAGGCGATCCGCTGGAGGAACTTGAGGCGGCGGCTTGCCAAAGCCGGGTTGTTCCGGGAGAAGAAGATCTCGACAGATCCGGTCGCCCACCGGAGGACTTGGTGGAGACGGTCGGTGAGGTTGATCGGAGCTGTCCCTCGGAAAGCGTCGCGCTTTGTGATGCAATACACGGACCGCCACCCGCGGTTGTGCATGCGGTACCCGGTCACGACATCCTCTGTCACCGACCCGTAGATCCATCCAATCCTCTCTCCCCATTCAGTTTTCTCTTCATACCAACAAGACACGACGGCAATGGCCTCTGCCACGGTCGGCGCATCTAGGGGAGGGCGGGGACCGAGCAAGGCCCCCGGTGCCCGACCGTTCTTCACCGAGATGTGATCAGCAAGCGGTCTTCCTTGGAACTCCGCAACAGCAATTGATTCCGTGAACATGGTTGAGTTCCCAAACCTCTTCGGCAGGGCCAAGTCTGGGTTGTTGTGGTCTGCTGTCAGGGGCTGCTGCGCGTCTTCGTCGTCTCCAATTCCATGGTGGTGACTACCATGAGCCCCCACCTTATACTGTCCGAATATCCCCCAGTACTCCCTCGGTCGCGGCGGGTTGAACCCGTATAGCGCGTAACGCCTGAACATGCAACCCGTTCCCACGTACACCGGACCTTGGAGGCCATCCAAGGCTCTCATGTTCCCTGATTGCAACAAAAAAAGGTTCATTACCACACAATATCTCTGGGAATTTTAAGTATACATATATGCTGAGCTCATCTAGGTACCATCAAAGAAGACAGTGTTGTGATTAGCATATCTATCAGAGGGATCAATTCCTTCAAATCTTTGAGGGAATTGGATGTAGCAGATGCGGTCCCCGCCGCGGTCCATCATGTAACACATGCCTTCGCGGATCGCGAGAGAGTTGTAAATGTAGTGGTCGCAGTCCAAGTTGAGGATGAAGGGTCCATTGGAAAGGATGGCAGATGCTCTCACCAGTGCGTTCATGGCTCCCGCCTTCTTGTTGTGGTCGTAGCCGGGCCGTTTCTCGCGCGAAACGTACACAAACATGGGAAGCCGCGTGTCGATTCCGGTGAAGTCTAGAGTCTTCTCGTCCGGCTGCCCCATCACGGGGTCGTGTTCCGGCACCTTGCTCATTATCTGCAGAATCCCGGCGTGGTCCCCCTTTTTGTGATCGGCTATCGGGTCGAACCATGTCCCGGGCCAGTGGGTGGCATCCGCCATCCACGTGGCGGGGTTGGTGAGGTTCGGCCCAGCTCCCGGAGGAACCACCCCGCCGTTCTTCTCCTTCGCCAACATCTTCTCCTTCATCTCTTCCTTCTTGTTGTGCGTGTCGCACCTCTTCTTTATCACCTCCGGCAAGCCGTTGATCCTCACCTTGAACTCGTCGTACTCTCTCTTGATCCACCGCCGGTCCTTCACAAAATCAAGCCGCTTCTTGTCTTTGGTCGGATCCCTTTTCTGGTTGAAGTAACTGTCCGGATTTCTCGGCTCGATGTTGTGCTTCCGGCAGAATGGCACCCAGACCTGTCATAACAAACAAACAATGCCATTTCAGAGTCACACCAACTTTGGCACCAAAGTCGACACTAGACAAACCAGACAAACACACTGGCCGAGAAGTAATACATACCAAAGAACGTGTAGAATATATGGAAAATGCTAGGGTGCCACCACATGGGTGCTACCATGGGTGCATCCATGCTTCACACAGACAAACACAGACGATAATGGTTTGTGTCGCACAGACAATTTTCGTCTGTGTGAAGCATGGGTGCACCCATGGTAGCACCCATGTGGTGGCACCCTAGCATGGTCCAAAATATATACCTTTGCGAACTCAACGGCCTCGCCCATGGCCTCGAACGTGAGGATGGCTCCGCCGTCATCGGAGATGTAGATGGAGAGCTTCTCCACGGGGTACTCGCACGCCATAATGGAGAGGATGGTGTTGGCGGTGACAAGGGGCGGCTCTTTGTCGGGGTCAGCCGTGGAGATGAAGACATCGACGCCGGGGAGATCGGAGCGGCCTTCCGGGTTAGACGGGGACGGGGTCTCGAACTTGTCGGCGAGGGCGGCCAAGTCGGCGGCCCGGTCTATGGGATTGACCTTAGGAAGTATGTCGAGAAGCCATGAAAAGGCAAACCAGACCTCGCACACTATGGATATAGCCCATAGCCAAATGGCGTCCTCGTTCGGGTTCTTGAATCGCCACACCAGAAACAGAAATAGACCTATCAGTCGGATCACGATCAGTAACCTGCCATTTCATCCAAAATGTTACTAATATTTAGATTACTTCTAGTTTGTCACCAAAAATTTGCTAGAGGGACCCAAAAATTTGAGAATATTTTGATATTAAGCTTCTCACAGACAGAAATAGACAACAGTTGTTTGTGTCGGTGTGTTCGAGAAATTTGGTGTCAAATTGCGTCAAATTCTCGGGCTTCGCCTAGCATTTATGCCTCGCAAACACGCACACAATCTCTTAGATTGGTGGTGTCGAGCTTGGTGTTATGATGGTGTCATTGTAGCGGGACTCTAAGTAGGTCGATGACTCGATGCTTTATATGTTACTCTGTTCGTCCCAATTATGGTGTACGGTTGTACCAAAACAACAATATTTCAGTAAAATCCCAAATTTTGTTGACTGAGAAATGTACTGTAATAATTTACACTTCGTCTCTATATGTGAATTCTTCTTGTCAATTTTTTTTTAAACTTTGAGCTTCAATTGTGAAAAAATATATATTTAATTACTTCATCCGTCCCACTGTCTTTGTCCACTTACCTTTTGGCACACCATCCAATGCACTTCTTTAATCCATTTTATCTTGTAATTTGTATATTAAAAAATTATAGAAATTATATATTAATAATCTATGTGTTAAGACGAATCAAACAAGATCACACATGACTATATTTAGGCTTACACATTGAGAGAATTTGATGAGTCAAAGTGCTTAGATGAACAGTTTCAAAAGTCAAAAGTGAACAAAGACAGTGGGACGGAGATAGTATAATATAAATTCAATATAGTTGGATTTTTTGTAGACATAGTTTCGATATAATAAATTTTTATAATATTTTCTGATTGACAATAGTAGTTTATTAATGGTCAAAGGGTCGAATTGGTGACCGCAAAAATAATCTTTGTAGGGAGGTAGAGAATTTTTTTTTTTTTTTAAAAAAAAAAAGAACCTGTAAGGGCTAATGATTCCACCGGAAATCTGGACTTTCCGGGTAATGGGCTTCCAAGGCTTGTCCATAAAATCCGAAATGGACATTCCGGTGTCATGATCATACGCATCCCCATCGTCTTCCCAGTACGCATTCCCAATCCCATATTTGCCCTTGGTCTCGAACAGCCAACGGTTGTGGTCGAAGTCCCCCGTCTGGCTCCTCACCAGCATCGACTTGTTGTTGTTGTTGTTGTTGTTGTTGTTGTTGTTCCGGCTCATCACCGACATCCTCCGCTCCCCTTTCCCCCCTCCCCCGCCGCCCTCCGGCTTCTCCCCTCCGCCTCCGCCGCCCGGCTGGTTGTCTGGCGTCGGCGGCATCATCACCGTGTAATTCATGTAGTCGCTCTGCGCGGCGGCGGCCGACGAGTCCCCCGGGACCTCGATGTCCTCGTCCCGCGGCAGGCTCACGACCCGGCCGCTCGACGTCCGCCGCGCGAATTTCACGCCCTGAGGGGGGCGGCTCGTGGCGGAGCCGCTGCCGTCCGAGGCCGTCTTTTTCGGGTTCGCCGACGTTGCCATTTGATTTGTATATATCGAGATTTGATTTTTTTCCCCTTCTATTCGACCACAGCAAGAATGTGTACGTGTGCATGCATGGCATCGTCGGAGAAAGCTTGAGGATTCATATTGTTTGTGCGTGGAGACATACAACGTTAAATGTTTGCTTGGAATATATATAGTTATTAGTTATTTGATGAAAGAAATTTGAATAATTAGGAGAAAGAGGAGCTGCAGGTAGGATTAATCTCTCTATAGCTAATTAAGATAGTTGAATTTTGTTGATTTTCACGAGACTAGAAAACAATATTTCGCAATTAACGCTCTGCCTCTCATCTTTGTTTTTGTTTTTTTGAGGAAAAAAAATAGAATGACATTATATATATATATATATTATTCTAAGGAAATTGGGATATCGCCATATTAGCATACTCCCCGATTCAAGTTTGGAGTTTCTCCATGATGACTAAATAAAGTATGAATATGATAAGATAGCGTTTAGAAATTAAAAAAACTTTTGGATTTCAAATCTAAAACTAAAATTTATTTGATCTCAAAATAAAAGGGATCGTTATTAGGACTTAGAAAAATATGCCCCAAATTCATTTTTTTTCAATTCCCAAATACGTTATTTGAGTCAACGCTACAAAAAACTGTGTTTATGGCATGGCTTTTGGCACGACCCCTAGTTTTATTATTATTATTTTTTTTTTTGTACCTAATAGTTTTGGCACGGCGTTTGGCATCTACCATGAGTTGCACCAAAATTAGCTAGGCTTCACAAATGCCTTGGCATGGCAGCCAGCTCCTTGCCAAACGTAGGCACGCCAAAGGCACGGTGAACGCGTGACAAGACGACGGCCCTAAATTCTTAACAGGCACGGACTGGCATCATGCCAACTCTCATATTAAAAAATACATAGCAAGTCCCAAAATGTAGGTACTCCTCTTTGTCCACTTTTGCACCGTGTCATATCCATCTGTGATCCATTTAAAGACTCCATGCGGTGGTGGGTCGTGCTCAACATCGCCTTTAAGAGATGATTGTCAGTGATGATGGGTATAACCCACTGGTACCACCGGGCAGGTTTGCAGGCGCCCGGGAGGTACCTAAGTCTGTCCAAGCTTGACCTCAGATCACCGTCCCCGGTAATCTAACCGGGTGGATGTCGGAGGGTCAGACCGGTAAGCTCGTGACTTGATCCGCAGAAGGCTTGAAGACTGGCCAGGTATCCAATTCCACAGACTTACATTTATCCAATTCCAAAAATTATCACTTTTCCAAAGTAACATACACCCAGATGGACAACAATGAATTTTTAGCATTGGGACTTCATCTCTCCTATGTTGGGCTCTTGCTTTGCATTAGATTAACTACAAAAAACTGGGACTTCCTAGGAAGGGGGTCGTCCCACACTCCCACACCTCTTCCTTATATATAAAAAAATTATAGCCTTTTAATGATATTTTAAATTATCATTGAATTTTAAGTATATTGGAGTAGGGACTTGAGAGACTAGGAACCAAGGGTTGGAGTCCTACTTCCTACTTTTCAAAGGGGTGGTGATAGCCGCACTCGCTAAAACACTAAATACACACGTCAACTAAATACATCCTGGATATATTATTATGTGATTATTAAAAAATATATAATTTTATTATGTTATAAAACGTTATAAAAAATGCTTAAAGCTATTCATCATTTATTTCATTTTATTGCTTTTCAAATAAAATTATATATATTTTTTAGTTTTAACTTTAATTATAAAATTTTGGCGCCTCTTCTTTTAATTTTTCATTAATTAAAATAACTTTTATTGTTAATACATTGAATGACAACCATTGATTTTGTATAAAATCTTCTATTTTAACTTCTAAGTATTATACCAATATGTATTTCACCATTTTAAAAAGATATCATATTTAATAATTAAAGTATACTCCGTATTTAGTAGAACAAAAAATAATTATTGTTAAACTATTACTCCCTCCGTCCCTGAGTATTTGTCCACTTTCATTTTTACACACCATCCAATGCACTTCTTTAATCCATTTTATCTTGTAATTTGTATATTAAAAAATTATAAAAATTATATATTAATAATCTATATGTTAAGACAGATCACACATGACTATTTTTAGGCTTACACATTGTGAGAATTTGATGAGTCAAAATGCTTAGATAAACAGTTTCAAAAGTTAAAAGTGGACAAATACTCAGGGACGGACCAAGTATTATATACTCCGTATGTTATAATTCAAACTAGAATTTTTATCGAAATCTTAAAATTGTAAAATGTTGTATATGAGTTCATGGATTAAAAATAATTTTTTTGAATAAGTATTAAAAATAATTTTGAAACTAATGGAGTTATTTAGTGTAGGGAGTGAAGTTACTTGGGTGGAGTGTGACTATCACCACTCTTTTTTATAGGTGGCCATGAAAGAGAGTGTTACTTGGGATGCAATAGAGTCCCGCTTTTCTTTTTCAACTTAATTTAGACCAAAATTTCAATCAATTATAACGAAGTGGCGGGCAAACGAACAACAAACTTTGTCGCAACCCACTCATGGTGATGCTCTAAAGAAAGACTTAAACAAAAAATTAAAAGTGAAGAAATAATCATAATCATTGAGCCAAATTAAGGACCTGTGGTCCAGTGACATCATAGTCTCTTCCAAATAAGAGGTCACATGTTTGAATTTCAATAGGGACAATATCTTTATATGCTTTAATAAGTTCTGAATGTATAAAAAGAGCATAATCATTGAAAATAGTGGAGTATAAGAGTATGGGCTTAAATATCTTATTATTACTATGGCTATGTTTTCTTCACCTGATCTGATTGGTTCTAATCTAATAGTTCTAATCTAATAGAAATAAATTCTAATCTGATCCGGTCTGAATATAATTATATTTAAAAGCATTTCTGATCTAATCTTATTCCAATAAGAATAAGTAATATGTAAAAAAGAATAAATTGAGGAGATTATATGCCTATATCATTCAATAGTGCAACAAATTCTTGAACCGCTTAACCCCACGATCTCTTTGTTGTGGATTTGTGGAGTTTTCAACTCAAACTCTCAAAGTAATCATTAGTACGGAGTAGTTCACTACTATCGTCCCAAAATTAAACTCACATTATATTCTAACTATATATACTCCCATCTAAAAATTAGATACATATTTTGAATATTACGGTTTTTAATGGAATACTTTAGATATTAATATCAATAATTGTACACAGATCAAAATTGTAAGCATATGATTGTTTAGAACTACACTTTTGTTAAATTTTAAAAAACTCTGCCCACATAAATAAAAGCAAAAACTTACTTTGGGACTGTGGTTGTATTTAATAAGAAAAAGGGGCAAAGTATGTATCTCATGGCTGACACTTGTCGGCTTCAAACTGGTCGGCATCCAACTTGTCGGCATTCAACTTGTCGCCATCCAACGTGTCGGCATCCAACTTGTCGCCATCCAACTGGTCAGCGTCCGAGTTTTCGGCATTCAACTTCTTGGCAGCCAACTCTTCAGCACTCATCCTGTTGAAGATATTCTTGCAAGCCAATTTCTTGGCAGCGTCTTTGTTGGGAGCTGAGCATGTGTCACTGTGGATGACGCCGTTCGCGTCAACCTCCATTGTGATGAACGAGACTCCATCGCGGATGGTGACGAAAGGCTTTTTCATTATGTAGCCTCTCCCTCGGCAGAACTCGTGCAACTCTCTTACTGGATGGAGGGTCACCGTTTCTGGGGTAACAATCGGCTCTAGAAGGGGAAGTATGCTTTCCAACACTTTGTCCTCATTGAACCCAGAGTCGAGTAGGATTGCCGCTCCAAGAGACTCAATAATATCACCAAGCACCTGTGATGAACCAAACATATGCCAGATATAGAATGATTCTAGTTACTAACACAAAAGACCTCACCGGCCTATTAGAGCATGTCCAATGGTGAGTATGAAGTTTTATTAGGAATGATGTTAGATTTTCCATGTAGGACAATTAAAAAAGTGGGACTCCCATCTTCAATGCAAGGTCCCATTTTAAAATCCCATCTAATTTGAACAAATAAATGAAAAAGGGAGATGGAATGAGTTGGGACGGTCCAAACTTAGAGGGACCGGTTCCATTGTTTTGTTTTCATCCAATGCTATGGGACCAAACATTAGTCCCACTTACATGCCAACTAGGAAAGAGGAGATGAAATGAGACTTGCATTGGACATGCTCTTAAGTCCCGCCAGCCCAGAGCTGTGAAATGATGGATACCATCATACTATTAAGAAAATGTTGTTCTGTTTAAATGGATGGGTGTTTCATTTTGAACCTTGTAAGCAAGTTAATGCATCACTTTGGTTTTTACCCGGGCTGCCATAGAAAACAAGGGTATTTTGGTGTCAAATTGAGGTATTGAATGTTTTTACACAAAATGACAAGATTTGTTTAAGGTAGTGTTGTCATTTCACAGCTTCGGTCAAACTCCAGGCTACCGTAGGATCCACAAAACTGTATCACTTGTGTTGGTTTCCAAAGTGGAGGATCTTTAAAACACTTTCGCCTATTCATGGCGAGCTGAGCGTGTCTACTTCATTCAGAAGTTTTAAAATACCTTGGGGAGACTTATATCTGAACTCCAACCAAATGTTGAGGAAACACCCAACCTCTCAACGCTCTCAACAGCATTTGTTATATGCCTCTGAAGGTCAGTGGAAAAATGGAGGATTTGCTTTTGTAGCCCAAACTTGATTGCGCATAGAGCATAACAGTCGTTATTCACCGAACAAGACCTCATATCGGTCAAAACACCAGGGGTCAGTCCAGGGTATTTATTGTAGAGGTGAACTGTGATGACATAATCAATCACTGCATCCCCAATAAATTCCAGGCGCTGCATTACAAAGCCAGAATCATCTCAATAAGATCCGATAAAGGTGTAATGTGGGAGATATGAAGAATGGATGTGTGTGCGTGTGTGTGTCTGTTACCTGATAGCATCGTGGAATTTCAGAATGCATGAAGGAGCCATGGGTGAATGCTTCAACAAGGAGAGAAGTATCATGGAATTTGTACTTCAGCAAGCTCTCTACATATTGTACATTAACAAACTTCCCAGCATTTATGGGGAACTGCCTTTCTGTGGGAACTTTGGTACAGTGCACGTTCAAACCAAGCCATGAAAGAAACGAGATTGCTGCTGCTTCTCCAATGGTACTAA